TAGAACTCACTGTCTCCTGGTGATTGGCCCAAAGTCACCCAGCCGGCTTTCATGCCTACAGCTGGACTAGAACTCCCCATCTCCCGGTTTCTAGCCTAGTGCCTTAACCCCTAAACTAAACTGGCTCTCCATATCCTTGCTCAGGGCCGTTCGTAATATTCCTCTCATTTCCTCCCCCCACTCCTTTCATCCTCAGGAGTTCTCCGAGGAAGAATTTGAATCCATGGCATCTAGTTGGCGAGCGAAATTGCAACGCTGCGCAGCCGGAGACCAGCGCTGGGGAGTCTTCTTTGCTCGGAAGCCACAGTAGATCAGGGCAGGAATTCACACACACACACACACACACACACACACACACACTGGTGGTGGTGGGATTCGCTAGCAGTTCAGTGGGTGTGGCTAGGTTGGAGGCATGTGACTCAGTGGGTGTGGCCAACTTGACATCACTCACCCTCACGCCCACTCAGTCACATGGTCGTCTCCTAGCCACACCCACACTGGGCCCGGCGGGCGGGGGGCATGTGACTGAGTGGGCGTGGCCAACTTGACGTCACTCACCCCCATGCCCATTCAGTCACATGGTCGTCACCTAGCCACACCCACACTGGGCCTGGCAGGTAGGAGCATATGACTGAGTGGACGTGGCCAACTTGACTACCCCTGCCCTCCTGTCGCTAGTCGCCCCCGTTTCCCCGCTTCCTTCCCCACCACCGCCTCTTTGGTTGCTTACCTGGTCCAGTCCGGAAGGCAAGCTGAGCAGAGTTTTTGGCGGCTTCCAGCAATCCGCCAATGCTAGGAAGCAGCTGGCCGGCAAAGAAAGCTCCCAGCACCACCTCTTTGCATACCGGCTCTCAGGGAGCCCGGCGGCTGGCCGGCGACCGCTGAAAAGTCCTCTGGTCGGCGAAAAAGCAGAGTTTTTAAGAAGAGTCTGCTTGGACTTGCAAGGCAATAGGAGGTGTACGCACAAAAAATATGGCTGCAGCGGCCACTTTTTCGCTGACTGGAGGATTTTTTGGCGGCCAGCAGCCAGCCACTGGCCTCTCTGAGAGCCGGTATGCAAAGAGGCAGCACAAACGAGTGACGAGTGGATGGACAGGTTGAGCAACTGGAGACAGGGGGATCGGGGCATGGCCAGCCAGTCATTGCTACCGGTTCGCCGAAGTAGGCAAAATTTCTGCCACTGGCTCGACTGAACCAGTGCGAATCGGCTAAATGCCACCTCTGACACACACACACACACACACACACACACACACACACACACACACACACACACACACTGGTTATTTCCAAAACCTTGCTGAACTTCCAGCTTTTTGTAGCCACATCCAGATGGGAATGGGCCTGTGTCCCTCTGGCTTTGCTCGGGAACACGGGGCGTTGGAAAAGACATCGGCTCCACCTAACGACAACGTTGCTGGCCGTTGGGAGCAGATGGTTGCAGGCTGAGTCATTCCAGGGTGGTTGGCGAGCGGGAGCCGACGTTCTGCCTCTCTCGCTCCTTCTCCACCCATCTGTTTCTGCTTCCCTCCCGTTGCCTCCTTCCAACAATCCATCGAGCGCAAGGAACGTCCCACCTCAGTCGGGGTCTCCGCAGACAAAGGATTCTGTGGAACTCCGAAAAGGGCACCGTTGCCTTTTTAAACCTGTCAAAGTATCCTAATAAAAGTACCAGTAGTCCTCAACTTATGACCAGCAAACTGAGCTCGACGTTTCTGCTGCTAAATTGGAGGCTTGCCCTATTTTACCAACACAATTGTTAAGCGAATCACCAAGGAGCCGAGGTGGCGCAGTGGTTAGGGTGCAGCACTGCAGGCCACTTCAGCTGACTGTTATCTGCAGTTCAGCGGTTCTAATCTCACCGGCTCAAAGTTAACTCAGCCTTCCATCCTTCCGAGGTGGGTGAAATGAGGACCCAGACTGTGGGGGCGATATGCTGACTCTGTAAACCGCTTAGAGAGGGCTGAAAGCCCTATGAAGCGGTATATAAGTCTAACTGCTATTGCTATTGCTAAGTTGCCAAGTGTCCAAATTTTGATCACCGAGAACGTTGCAACGGTCGTAAGTGTGGAAAAATGGCCGTCCCTCGCTTTTTTTCAGTGATGTTGTAACTTCGGACGGTCACTAAACAAATGCTTGTGCGGGGAGGGGGGGTTGGACTAGAAGACCTCTAAGGTCCCTTCCACCTCGGTTATTCTGTTATTTTTGTCCATAGCGAAACTTTAAACTGGCCCGTCGCGGAATTTCCTGGGCTGTTTACAATGACGCCCCTACCCGTTGCAACCGATATAAAAATATCCCCCCAAAAACCCACCAAATTAAATTCAGAACGAAAGCTTCACACACACAATTAGTGGCATGAAAAATTTCAAAGAATCTGCATTCCCGAGGCGGTGACCTTCAAGAGCAGAGAAATTTGCTGACGTCCTGGTTGTCGTATCTGTAGTTACATCACCCAAGCTTGGCTGGGAACTGGGGTGAGGAAGGGAGGTCAGCTGCCTGACCACCAATCATCCGAAAGTCCTTAGATCTGCAAATTCCCTTTTTTTTTTTTCTCCCCACTTCTAAAATTTTTCAACCAGAGTGGCTTTGCAATTTGGCAAACCTGCCGCCAGGGGGCAGCGTGCCTCTATTTGCCTGCCATGGGAGATGATGCTAACCAAGTTCAAGCAGTGATTTGCCACTTTCTGGAGGGGTATCCTGGTTTGTCCCTCGGAGGGAAGAAAACCCGCTGCCAAGAATCGTGGGCGCCCGGGTGCCCCAGCTGTTCCGAACTATAATTCCCACTGGCTGCGAAGCTGAAAACGAACCCGTTCTTGCCTTCCCACTTCCTGATCTCATGGCCTGCATTCTACACAAAGCTTAAACCTTTTGCAATAGGTTTGCTCGGCCGATGACAGGCATACTCCAGTTCCCAGCAGGCTGGCTGGGAATTCTGGAAATTGCAATCCCCAGAGCCTGGGAAGGTTATGAAAAAAGAAAAAAAAAAACAGCTTCCTTGCAAAATGAGCTCAGCTCAAAATGACTCACAGGGACACGTACACAGAGCACAAGTATTTTGTCTCTGACTGTGCGGTTGATTTGATTTCATCTCAAGTTATTACATTTATAAGGTAAAGGTAAAGGTTCCCCTTGTACGTATGTGCTAATCGTTCCCAACTCTAACGGGACATTGCTCATCTCTGTTTCAAAGCCGAAGAGCCAGCGCTGTCCGAAGACGTCTCCGGGGTCCTGTGGCCGGCATGACTCAACGCCGAAGGCCCACGGAACGCTGTTATTACCTTCCCACCAAAGGTGGTTCCTGTTTTTCTACTTGCATTTGTTTACCTGCTTTCGAACTGTTAGGTTGGCAGAAGCTGGGACAGGGAGCTCACTCCGTTACACGGCGCTAGGGATTCGACCCGCTGAACTGCCAACCTTTCTGATCAGCAAGTTCAGCGTCTTAGCCACTGAGCCACCATGTCCCTTGTGTTAATTTTATATGCCACCCCATTTTCAGCAGCCTCTACATTCTAACACACCGTGAAATCCAATGTAACAAACTCAAATCTAATTCAAGGTGAGAGAAAAGGAAGGTTTTACACTTAGGAAGAAAAATCCAATGTACCGAAACAGATTAGGTGAAACCTGATTCAATAGAAGTAACGGTGGAAAGGATTTTGCACTAGTAAACAATCTCTTAAATATGAGCAAGCTGTGTGTGGTGGCAGCCAAAAAAGCCAACACAATTCCTACTCTGCATTAACAGGGGGATAGAATCAAGTGTGTGAGGTGTTAGTACCGCTTTATGAAGCCTTAGTAAGACCACACTTAAGAGTATTGCATCCAGTTTTACTTACTATATTATTAAAAAAGATATATAAAAGCCTCTGGAAAGGGTGCAGAGAAAAGCAAGAAAGATGATTAGGGGGATGGAAGCTAAAACATAATGAAGAATGGTTGCAGGAATTGGGGATGTCTGGTCTAGGTGGCTCAGGGGCTAAGACGCCAAGCTGTCGATCAGAAAGGTCGGCAGTTTGGCGGTTCGAATCCCCAGCGCCGCGTAAC